GGAAAGTTGACGTCAATGTCTAAATGGGTTAATCTGTACCACGAGATTAGTGCTGACCCGCGGTTCAGTGCAATGCTGTCGCAGCCCTTCTCGGGCTCAACACCTCTCGACTTATTTAAGTTTTATGTCGAAGAACTCAAAGCCAGATATGAAGACGAAAAGCAATTGATTAAAGACATCCTCAAGAGTAAAGACTTTGAGGTGACCATTGCCACCACTTATATAGACTTCGCCACTATTCTGAGTGAAGACACGAGAAGTGCGACACTCGACGGCGGAAACGTTAAAATCATTTACGAGAAGCTCATCGAAAGAGAGAAGGAGAGGGAAAGGGAGCGAATCAAAGAGGAACAGAAGATTAAGCGTAAACTAGAGACCGCTTTCTTAGCTGTATTGGCAAAACTGGATCCGCCTATCGATGAGGACTCCGATTGGGATTCTGTCAGACATCTCATTGCCAATGAAGAGGCTTTTATGGCTATTCCTACAGAAGCCGAGAGAATAACAATATTCAAGAGTTGCATCCGAACTATGGAGGAGTCGTGTAGTCATCACCACTCGAAGGCTAAGAAGAGCTTCTATTCCAACAAAAAGACCGATAAATCCAAGAAAATTAAGAAAAGATCTCATTCTTCCTCGTCTTCATCTTCATCGTCGAGTGGAGACGAGCGCCGACACAAACGCAGTGAAACCACTAAAAAGGACAGTCGATCCCATTCTAGAAGCGATCGTTCCGCTCATTCTCACAGCTCTTCCAGTGATAGCGAAAAGGAGTTTCAGAAATTCAAACCAATTCCTCCGCGAAAGCAGTCTTCTGTAAGATCTTTAACTTCTGAACTCGAAATATGTTTGAATTAAACGTTTTGTTTGTTTTTGAAGGAATCCGATGACGAAAGGGCGCGATTGGAATCTCCAGAGAAAAGTAAAGCAACGGAAAAGACTTCCAATGCTAACGAGTCTTTCGACGATTTGGAAGAATTGGAGAAACAAAGGAGAATATTGTTGCAACAGTTGGCCGCACATCACACCACCCAATGATCACTTCATTCACATACTTTACAATTAAATTAAGAGTTTTGACATTCATTATAATTTTTTAATTAATAAAACTTAATTAATAAAATATTTAATTACAAAATAAACTTATATAATATAAATAATATACAAAATTATAAATTCCATAACTTATCAACTTTTTAAAGCTTTTGATATGTCCTGAAGACTAGCATACGTTCCGGTGAAGAAACCGATGATCCCTATCAGGAATATAGACGTGTTTTTGGCGACGAGTAGCCACCAGTTCGTACCCCTTTCTATAGTTG